GTGCCCCCTGTGCATTGATACTCTTCCCTGTGCCCCCTTGCATTGATACTCTTCCCTGTGCCCCCTGTGCATTGATACTCTTCCCTGTGCCCCTGTGCATTGATACTCTTCCGTGCGCCCCCTGTGCATTGATACTCTTCCTGTCCCCGTGCATTGATACTCTTCCCTGTGCCCCTGTGCATTGATACTCTTCCCTGTGCCCCCTGTGCATTGATACTCTTCCCTGTGCCCCCTGTGCATTGATACTCTTCCCTGTGCCCCTGTGCATTGATACTCTTCCCTGTGCCCCCTGTGCATTGATACTCTTCCCTGTGCCCCCTGTGCATTGATACTCTTCCCTGTGTCCCCTGTGCATTGATACTCTTCCCTGTGCCCCCTGTGCATTGATACTCTTCCCTGTGCCCCTTGTGCATTGATACTCTTCCCTGTGCCCTGTGCATTGATACTCTTCCTGTCCCCTGTGCATTGATACTCTTCCCTGTGCCCCTGTGCATTGATACTCTTCCCTGTGCCCTCTTGCATTGATACTCTTCCCTGTGCCCCCTGTGCATTGATACTCTTCCCTGTGCCCCTGTGCATTGATACCCTTCCCTGTGCCCCCTGTGCATTGATACTCTTCCCTGTGCCCTCTGTGCATTGATACTCTTCCCTGTGCCCCCTGTGCATTGATACTCTTCCCTGTGCCCCCTGTGCATTGATACTCTTCCCTGTGCCCCCTGTGCATTGATACTCTTCCCTGTGCCCCCTGTGCATTGATACTCTTCCCTGTGCCCCCTGTGCATTGATACTCTTCCCTGTGCCCTCTGTGCATTGATACTCTTCCCTGTGCCCCCTGTGCATTGATACTCTTCCCTGTTCCCCCTGTGCATTGATACTCTTCCCTGTGCCCCCTGTGCATTGATACTCTTCCCTGTGCCCCTTTGCATTGATACTCTTCCCTGTGCCCTCTGTGCATTGATACTCTTCCCTGTGCCCCCTGTGCATTGATACTCTTCCCTGTGCCCCTGTGCATTGATACTCTTCCCTGTGCCCTCTGTGCATTGATACTCTTCCTGTCCCTGTGCATTGATACTCTTCCCTGTGCCCCTGTGCATTGATACTCTTCCCTGTGCCCCCTGTGCATTGATACTCTTCCCTGTGCCCCCTGTGCATTGATACTCTTCCCTGTGCCCTCTGTGCATTGATACTCTTCCCTGTGCCCCCTGTGCATTGATACTCTTCCCTGTGCCCCCTGTGCATTGATACTCTTCCCTGTGCCCCCTGTGCATTGATACTCTTCCCTGTGCCCCCTGTGCATTGATACTCTTCCCTGTGCCCCCTGTGCATTGATACTCTTCCCTGTGCCCCCTGTGCATTGATACTCTTCCCTGTGTCCCCTGTGCATTGATACTCTTCCCTGTGCCCCTGTGCATTGATACTCTTCCCTGTGCCCCTGTGCATTGATACTCTTCCCTGTGCCCCTGTGCATTGATACTCTTCCCTGTGCCCTCTGTGCATTGATACTCTTCCCTGTGCCCCCTGTGCATTGATACTCTTCCCTGTGCCCCCTGTGCATTGATACTCTTCCCTGTGCCCTCTGTGCATTGATACTCTTCCCTGTGCCCTCTGTGCATTGATACTCTTCCCTGTGCCCTCTGTGCATTGATACTCTTCCCTGTGCCCCCTGTGCATTGATACTCTTCCCTGTGCCCTCTGTGCATTGATACTCTTCCCGTGTGGCCCCTGTGCATTGATACTCTTCCCTGTGCCCCTGTGCATTGATACTCTTCCCTGTGCCCCTGTGCATTGATACTCTTCCCTGTGCCCCTGTGCATTGATACTCTTCCCTGTGCCCCTGTGCATTGATACTCTTCCCTGTGCCCCCTGTGCATTGATACTCTTCCCTGTGCCCCCTGTGCATTGATACTCTTCCCTGTGCCCCCTGTGCATTGATACTCTTCCCTGTGCCCCCTGTGCATTGATACTCTTCCCTGTGCCCCTGTGCATTGATACTCTTCCCTGTGCCCCCTGTGCATTGATACTCTTCCCTGTGCCCCCTGTGCATTGATACTCTTCCCTGTGCCCTCTGTGCATTGATACTCTTCCCTGTGCCCCCTGTGCATTGATACTCTTCCCTGTGCCCCCTGTGCATTGATACTCTTCCCTGTGCCCCTGTGCATTGATACTCTTCCCTGTGCCCCTGTGCATTGATACTCTTCCCTGTGCCCCTGTGCATTGATACTCTTCCCTGTGCCCCCTGTGCATTGATACTCTTCCCTGTGCCCCCTGTGCATTGATACTCTTCCCTGTGCCCCTGTGCATTGATACTCTTCCCTGTGCCCCTGTGCATTGATACTCTTCCCTGTGCCCCCTGTGCATTGATACTCTTCCCTGTGCCCCTTGCATTGATACTCTTCCCTGTGCCCTCTGTGCATTGATACTCTTCTCTGTGCCCCCTTTTCATTGATACTCTTCTCTGTGCCCCTATGCATTGATACTCTTCCCTGTGCCCTGTGCATTGATACTCTTCCCTGTGCCCCCTGTGCATTGATACTCTTCCCTGTGCCCCCTTTGCATTGATACTCTTCCCTGTGTCCCCTGCGCGTTGATACTCTTCCCTGTGCCCTCTGTGCATTGATACTCTTCCCTGTGCCTTCTGTGCATTGATACTCTTCCCTGTGCCCTCTGTACATTAATACTCTTCCCTGTGCCCCCGGTGCATTGATACTCTTCCCTGTGCCTTCTGTGCATTGATACTCTTCCCTGTGCCCTCTGTACATTAATACTCTTCCCTGTGCCCCCTGTTCATTGATACTCTTCCATGTGCCCACTGTGCATTGATACTCTTCTCTGTGCCCTCTGTGCATTGATACTCTTCCCTGTGCCCTCTGTGCATTGATACTCTTCCCTGTGCCCTCTGTACATTGATACTCTCCCCTGTGCCCCCGGTGCATTGATACTCTCCCATGTACCCCCGGTGCATCGATACACTTCCCTGTGCCCCCTGTGCATTGATACTCTTCCCTGTGCCCCCTGTTCATTGATACTCTTCCATGTGCCCACTGTGCATTGATACTGTTCCCTGTGCCCCCTGTCCATTGATACTCTTCCTTGTGCCCCCTGTGCACTGATACTCTTCCCTGTGCCCCCCGTACATTGATACTCTTCCCTGTGCCCTCTGTGCATTGATACTCTTCCCTGTGTCATCAGGTTCATTGATCTGCTTTTGTCTGCCTTCCCCAGTGTTGTACAGAGAATCAGTTTGTGAGTGCCACTCTTGGAGGATTTCTGCTCTGCTTGTTGTAGTGGCGCAGGGAAGGCACAGCCACTGTGGTGGAGCGCAGGGCATGAGGGACAAACAGGAGGGCAGAGGCAGCGGGTGGAGGAGTCGGAGGGTAAGCAGGTCAGATAGTGAGGGCATGAAGGAATTTGAAAACAAGTGAGAGAATCTTAAAATCAATCCGTTCAGTAATTGGGAGGCAGTGGAGCCTGGCAACGACTGGTGTGTTGGGGCTACAGAGTTTTGTGCGGTTGAGTATCCGGATGGCAGTTTTGAATTAAATAAAATTTGTGTATGGTGGAGCTGGGGAGATCAGTGAGAAGGGCATTCGAATAGTCCAACCGGGAACTGACGAAGTCATGGACTAGAGTTTTGGCTACATTGGTTGTGAGGTTCGGATGGAGGCATGCAATGTGACGGAATGTGATAATCTCCTAAAAATAGAAGTTTAAAATAAATAATCTGACAGAAACTGAGGCAATGTATTTAAAGCAGTTTATTTATACCAAATCAAAAGCTCCAGAAACCAAGTGTTTAACTATTGAACTCCAACTACCTTATCGTTTTCAATCAACAACAACAACAACAACATTACATTTGTACAGAGCCTTTCAGGGAGGATGTCCCAAGGCACTGCACAATCAGCGTTTTGGACCCAAATCAGTGACGCAACAGTGATTCAGTCAGTACCAAATGGTGTGTTGACAATTTTGCTGAAATAAGTAACTGTGGTGGTCATCCTTTGCCCAATTCTACAACTTTTGAAATTTCATCCGCTGACCACTTCCCACCCCCTATTCTTGTGGAAATATTATTCTCATTAAATTGATACCAGTGAACAGGTGATAGAATATTACAGCACAGAAGGAGCTCATTTGGCCCATCGCATCTGTGCTGGCTGTTTGGAAGAGCGACCCAACCAGTCCCACTTCCCAGCTCTTTCCCCAAATCCTTGAAAATCATTCCTTTTCAAGTTCCTCTCCGATTCCCTTTGAAAGTTGTTATTGTTATTGAATCTGTTTCCACCCTTTCAGCTAGTGCATTCCAGATATTGACAACTGTCTGTGTTCAAATAAAAGTCTCCTCATCTCCCCTCTGGTTCATTTGCCAGTTATCTTAAATCTATGTATCCTGGTTACCAACCCACTTGACAGTGCAAACAGTTTCTCCCTATCTATTCTATCAAAACCCATCATAATGTTGACCATCTCTGCTCCAAGGAGAACAATCCCAGTTTCTCTAGTCTCTCCACATAACTAAAGTCCCTCATCCCTGGTACCGTGCTGGTAAATCTCCTCTGCACCCTCTCCAAGGTCTTCATATCCTTCTTAAAGTGTGATGCCCAGAATTGGACACAATACTCCAGCTGAGGCCTAACAAGTAGAAGAAAAAATATAAAGATAAATACAGGAAAGTATGTACTTATCTGAAATAACGTTTGAAAATAATTTACCAGGAAGAGCAACAAGCAAGGTAAGTTATCCAGTAGTATAGTAACTGGTACGTTAAGAATTTCAGGGATGAGTGAGCCATCAGCACTATCTAACTTACAATTCCAATCACTTCTGTCTGTTCCTGCTATCAAGAGTTCTATCCATTTTCCCTCAAACACTGCTGTTTATTTGTTCAGGTGGTTAATAGATGGTGGTGGCATGTGAGAACTTGAGCTCAAAGTCCAGGCTGAGGCAAAGTCCAGTGCAGTGCTGAGAAACGTAACACTGCCAGAAATACTGTCTTTGGTATGAAATATTAAGTCGAGGTATAGTCTGCTTGTTCCCATGATTTTATTTTATTCATTTGTCTGGGTCCTGGCCAGGAATCCTTCCGGTTGATCAATCGATCACTTTATGATGGCTGACTGAGGGGGCCTTGCTGATTTCCACATTTGTGTCACAGTCAGAACATTTGACACTAATTACCTGATATTGCATTGAAATCTTCCAACAACAACTTGTATTTATATAGCGCCCTTCAAACAGGGTAGTGTCCTGGAGCGCTTGACGGTGGTGGAGCAGGACGCTGAGCCTGAGGGTGAGGTGACTGTAACCACAATCAAAAAAGGTCTTTGGGTGGGATTTGAAGGTAAGGAGGGAGGGGGCAAAGCGGAGGGATTGGGGGAGAGAGGTGCAGAGTTTTAGAACCCCCACCCCATCTCCCCCTCACCCCACTCACCTCCCCCTCCCGCCACCCATCTCCCCTTCCTCCCAGCCACCTTCCCCTCCCCCAACCAGCTACCCCTGCCCCCCGCTACCTCCCCCTCCCCCCGCTACCTCCCCCCGCCACCTCCCCCCCACTCGCCACCTCCCCCTCCCCCCCGCTACCTCCCCCTCCCACCCGCTACCTCCCCCTCCCTCCCCCTACCCTCCATCTGTCTTCAATCCTGCTTTAAATTATTACTCCTTTGACAATGGCCAAGTCACTTCCCCCTTCCCCCTCCCTCCTGCTCAGTGTCTACCACTGTAAAACACTCAGAGAAGTTATCTTTTGTGAAGCCACTTTAGTTACAAGTTGTTGTACAGAAATACCTACTGAAAGTATTCATAATTTTACATTTTGCTGATTGACTATTTGCATGATTATGGTGGTGTTTTTCAGAGTCCTAATGTCGATATCGGAGAAGTTTGTTTCAGTGAAACCATCACTGAGTGAGGGCCAGGCTGCGGAGTTGGTCACTCGCTTGTTTGGTCTGAAAGTGTCTGCTGTCAGACCACTGCCCAGTTATGGTGATCAGAACTTCCACATCCTGGCGTCTGGAACCCAGGGCTCAGGAGATTACCCCAATGGTTTTGTCCTCAAAGTGCTCAACTCTGCTGACAGCCAAAAGCCTGATTTGGTTGAAGCACAAACACAAATCATGATGTTTTTGAATGACAAAGGTTTTCCTACTCCTAAAGCAATTCCAACTATTGGTGGCAGAATGATGTCATTGGAGACGATTGGTAAGAACCATTTACTGTGAGCTGTAAACTGTGTTCAGGATAGAGAGAGATGGAGTTCAATGTCAATCCACATATTTGTATAAATACCATTAAGAAGCCAAGCCATTACGAGTGCCTGTAATTAAACACTTCACTGTTGCCTAAAACAAACACCTGCAAATTATTCCTTTATACATTTTATATTTCATTTATTAAGTATTTTATTGTGACTAATTTTCTTTAACAGTGAATTATATTTACATTTACAGTATTATATAATGTTTGCATCAATTTAAGTTTAGATTCTTGTGGTTATTTGACCTTTTTCCCTTTCCTCTTACATTATGTTTAATGTGAAATAATTTGCATTTAGCAATTAGATATTGCTTTTTGTACAGCAGACAAGATTGATTTAATAAAGACATAAATTACACTCTCAAAAAATACCCCTTTAAAGTAATAGGAACTAGTGCTGAAACTTTAGTTGTATACTCAAGAATTGATGAACATTTTGGTGTCTAGTCCTATGGAATTTGATCCTGATTTATTTTAGTAATCTGGGTTAAAAGTGAGGAACAATAAACATTTAATGTTGCACTAATACACTTAATTTCTCAAGTTAAACCACAGTGTTGGGAATGAATATGGATTAAATAACGATTAAATATTGTATTCCACTCATTTACTCATTTTACAAAGGCTCTAAAACCGCTCAATTCTTGGAGTAAGAAATGTTACAATGATCATAAAAGTTAATACTTCAGCACAGTATTTAATGAAATTAATTTACTCAAAATAATGAGGGAAAATAATTTGTGCTAAAAGCACAAGTTTTTTGGAGGTAAATAGTGATTTTTTATGGTATTTATATAACTATAGTAAACATGATGTTCCAATTTAGTAATTGCTGCTCTCTTTGGTTGTTGAAATCTACAATATATTTACTTCTTTTAAAACATGTTGGATCTACACTGCAGTTCTATGTAATTGTGACTTAACAACAACAACAACAAAATTACATGTGTAAAGCGTCTTTCACGTCGGGAGGACGTTCCAAGGCACTAGACAGTCAGAGTTTCGGACCCCGAGCTGGAGGTCGGGATCGGGGAGGGTGGAGGGTAGGGAGGGAAGCAGTGTGATCGAAAGCATGGTCGAAGAGGAGTGTCTTGAGATGGGTCTTAAAGCAGTCAAGGGAGGCGCGGCAGAGGGATTGCAGGATGGAGTTCCAGAGGGTGGGGGCAGAGTGGCAGAAGGCCTCCCGCCAATGGTGGGGCGAGCGAGGCGGGGGACGTGAAGCAGGCCGAAGCCCGCTGAGCGGAGCGAGCGAGCAGGATGGTAGAGGGTTAGGAGGTCGCAGAGGTCGGGGGGAGCAAGACCATGGAGGGCTTTGAAGGTGAGGACCAGGATCTTGAACTATATCCTCTGCGTGATGGGAAGCCAGTGGAGTCGGGCGAGGATGGGGGCGATAGGGCCACGGAGCCTGGTGGGGGTGAGGATGGGGGTGATAGGGTCACGGAGCCTGGTGGGGGTGAGGATGGGGGTGATAGGGTCACGGAGCCTGGTGGGGGTGAGGATGGGGGTGATAGGGTCACGGAGCCTGGTGGGGGTGAGGATGGGGGTGATAGGGTCACGGAGCCTGGGGGGGGTGAGGATGGGGGTGATAGGGTCACGGAGCCTGGTGGGGGAGAGGACACGGGCTGCAGAGTTCAGGATGATCTGCAGCCTGTGGAGGGAGGAGTTGGGGAGGCCGACAACAGGGAATTTGCATAGTCGAGCCTGGATGTAAGGAAAGCGTGTATGAAGGTTTTGGCGGTTTGCGGTGTGAGACGGTGCCGGAGCCGGGTGGTGATGTTACGGAGGTGGGGAAGGCAGAGCGGGTCATGGCACAGATGTGGGGCAGAAAGAATACTTGAGGGTCAAACCAGACCCCAAGGTTCCAGACTGGCTTAGCAAGGTGGAGTGTGCAACCATGAATGGTGATGTTGTCAGCGACTTACTGTGCAACTCTTTAAGTGCATGGCTTTGGGATGAGCCTGAGCTAAGTAAGTTTGGATAGATTGAATTCAACAGTTTCAATGAATATAACTCAATGTATTGCAGAGTGTGGCAGTGAATGTAAACAGTACATGGTCAGGTTACTGACATACCTACCTGGAATCCCATTGGCCAAAATCCCTTTGGATCAACAAAATTTGTACAAAGTTGGCAGAATTGTTGCACAAATGGATAAGGTCCTTCAAGAGGTAAGATATATTTTTTAAATGTTTGAGGGAGTGGTGAGGAATCTGTATCAGACATTGATGAAGTTACAGCTGGAATATTTTGGGCAGTTTGGGGCCCACATTATAGACAGGAGATTGGAGCCATGGGGAGGGGGCAGTGTAGGCTCACAAGGAGAAAACTGGAGATGAAAAGATCTGGCTTTGAGATTAGGACTCTGTCCCATTGGAGCAGAAAATGTTGAGGGGAGATGTGATTGAGGTACAGTATTTGAAAGAAGAGGATATTGGGATTAGGATCAAAAAGAGTGAGAGTGAAACTGGGGATTGGAGGAGCAAACACGGACACAAAGTAATTGAGACGGTGGCCCTTTTTCTGATGAGATGATGTCAAGGAGAGAGAGGGAGAGCAAAGGAGAGAGAATCACAGAGAGAGAAACAGAGAGAGACTGTGGACAGAGAGCGAGAACTGCAGAAGAAGAGAGAGAGAGAGAGAGAGAGAGAGAGAGAAAAAACGTGGAAAGAGAAAGAGAGTCCAGAGACTGAGAGAAAGAGTGTGAGATTGGAGATAGAGAAAGTGTTTGAGAGATGGACAGAGAGAGAGTGAGAGCGAAATTGGGGATTGAGAGAGAGACATCTGGCCACCTATTCCGTGTTTCATGTTTTCTTAATGAAAAGAGAACGTCATCACTTCGCTGCTTGGACCCGGATTCCCAGAGAATTCCTGTTTTCTCTGGGATCCCTAGATTGTTTCTGTGGGATTCAGGAATGCCCAGAGAATTTTGAGTTTTCCGAGCATTTGGGGTTTCTGAAAAAATGTTTTCTGCGATCCCGGATAATTCCTATCATCACTTGGAAAACTATTATTCCTGATAATTCGCATTAGCCCTGATAATTCCTAATAGCCTGGATAATCGTGGAGTCCTGTAGCTCAGTGGTTAGAGCACTTGCTTTGCAAGCAAGACACCTGGGTTCAATTCCAATGACTTCTTATTTGTTGTGCATTGCTTTGGCACTATGGTTCCATGGTAAACCTCCCAAGCCCCAATCAAAATGAATCTACCTTTTGGGCAAGTTTCCTTACTCCACACGCCTAATAATAATCCCTCCAAAAAACCCAAAACAATAATAAATTGGTCATTTTCAATCTACGACTGTTTGTGGGACATTGCTGTGCGCAATTGGCTGCCGCGTTCGCCCACAAATATACAGTCAATTCACTTTACAGTATATTCTGTGAAGCGCTTTGGGACGTCCTCCCGACGTGAAAAGCGCTATATCAAATGCAAGGATTATTATTATTATTATTATTACTAGTAGGACTCCATCTCTACCCAGGCTATATTGTTTTGCAGTGGGATAATCTAGACAAGCCCTCCGTATAACCCTATATCTAGCATGAAATCTAAGGTAAACAATGTCTTTATCTAATTATTAGGAATTTCAGCATGTTACATTGAAGAGCCTGCACCGTGAAGACTTCATTTGGAACCTTTCAAATACTCATCACTTGGAAAACTATCTGGCTGCACTGGGGGGGAGTCGCAGCTGTCTAACTATAGAACAAGTTATTCAGCAATTCAAAGCACAGATTTTCCCAAATCTGAGCAAGTTTCGCAAAAGTAAGTTTAATATTTAATAGTTGTTTATATGCAGAGCAAACGTGTCTTTATACTGTTAACAGTTTCTGTGTATCTTGCCACACTGGCAGAGGGGAAGATACTGGCAATAGGAATGTCCATTACACCAGAATGGTTACCTGAATTTATAATTCTCCTTGCTAATATTCATTTAAGTAAATCCTGAAAGTTTTGTGATTCATTGTGAACATTGCGTATTGTAGGACATTGCTTTCTCCATGATACATCGCTTAGGCCTTCGCTTCCTGTACGGTGGAGTCCTGCAGTGTAGTGGTTAACTCGCTTGCCTCGCAAGTGAGAGGACCTGGGTTTGATTCCCAGGTGGGGTGAAATCTTAGGCAAGTTTCCTTACTCCACACACCTCTGTTTACCTCACAGTAAGTAGGAACCCAGTTGTCAGTGATTGGCAGATGGCTTTCCGGGGATAATAATTACTCAAAAAAAAATTGGTCACTCAATCCACGACTGTTTGTGGAACACCACTGGCTGCTGCCAACAAAATCGACAGTCAATTAACTTTACAATATATCCTGTGAAGAGCTTTGAGACATCTCAACAATGTGATAAGACACTATATCAAATGCAATGATTATTATTATTGTACTTGGAACAGTAACTGTTAATTTCATTATAAAGTGTTCCACACACAGCCGCCGGTTAATAAACATTGTGTAGAATTAGCCCAGCAGAGACCTGGTTAACACCAAGAGAGAGCAAGGAATTTTATACACCTTGAGCTGTCACATTCCTTTACAGTTAACATTAAACCCTTTAATCAGGTGTCAGCTTGGCTCAGTCAGAAGCACTTTCACCTGAGTCAGAGTATGCCATTTGCCTCGCTCCCTCACTTGCCTCCTTGGAGGAGCATCTCAAAACCCTCCTCTTTGGCCGCCCCTTCAGCCAAACCTCCTATCCTCCTTGCCCTCCACACTCCCTTACTTCAACACCCACACACCCCCACCCGGCTCAGATCCAAATCCCTGGCTGTCCAGCATCTTGCGATGTCCTCCTGATGTGAAAGGCACTATACGAATGCAATTTTGTATTGTGTGCAAATTTGCTGCCATGTTCGCCATCAAAATACACTTACAGTAGAATCACAATCATAGAAAATTTCTGCACTGAGCCATTTGGTCCATCAAGTTCACACTGACTTACAGAGCAAGCTCTCCATTCAATCTCACTACCCAGTGTTATCCCAATACCTATTATCATAGAATCGTACAGCACAAAAAGAGGCCATTTGGCCCATCGAATCTGTGCGACTCTTTGAAAAGAGCAATGTAATGTCAATCCCACTCCCAGCCCTTTCCCCATAACCTGCAAACCCGTCCTCCTCAAATACCCGTCCACCGCGTTTTTAAAAGTAGTCATTGAATCGGCCTCGACCGCCCTTTCAGACGATGCGTTCCAGAATCGAACAACTCGCTGCGTAAAAAAATGTCTTCTCACCTCCCCTCGGCTTCTTTTAGAGACTATTTTGAATCTGTGACCTCGAGTCACTGACACACCCACCAGTGGGAACAGTTTTTCCCTTTCTAACCTATCAAATCCCCTCATGATTTTGAAGACCTCTATCAGGTCCTCGTAACCTTCTCTGCTCCAATGAGAATAATCCCGGCCTCTCCAGCCTTTCCTCATCATCACGGTCCCTCATTCCTGGTCCCATCCTCGTAAATCTGATATTGATGGGGAGATATGATTTTATACCTCACTGGAAAGGTTTTGCATGGCGAAATGTCCTGGGCATATTTTTTTCTGGGATCTCCTATTGTTAATGAGCTATATTTAAAAAAATGCTTTAATTAACCTCCAAAATATCAGGTCTGCATTGTATTCTGCAACAAAGGGCAAAACCTTGGGCAAGTTTCCACACGCCTGATAATAATCCCTCCAAAACAAAACAAGAATAAATTGGTCATTTTCAATCCACGACTGTTTGTGGGGACACTGCTGTGTGCAATTGGCTGCTGCGTTTCACCCACAAACATACAGTCAATTGACTTTGCAGTCTATTCTGTGAAGCTCTTTGAGACGTCGAGAAGACATGAAAAGCGCTATATCAAATGCAAGGATTATTAGTATTATTATAATAAGTAGTGACCGTGCCTTCAGCTCCCCTCTCGACTCTCTTCCTCCTCCTCGCTCCCTCCCTTCCCTCCCCTCACCCTGACCTCTCCTCCTCGCTCCCTCCCTTCCCTCCCTTCACCCTGACCATTTCCCCCCTACTCTCTCCCTCCCTTCCCTCCCTTCACCCTGACCATTTCCCCCTGCTCGGGTCATGACCCAACTGTGCAGCGCCTTGGGACGTCCTCCTGACGTGAAAGGCGCTCTATAAATGGAATCTTGTTGTTGTTGTTGTTGTGACAGAGGAAATCGCACACCCTTCTAGAGAGATACATCTATATTAATATATACTGCAACAAGTTAGTGACAGAGAAAAGCTATGACCTTAACAATCTCATCACACATGTATGCACTCCAATAAGGAATCCTGCCAACAAGGAGACCTCCCTTCAGGAGGCATTCCAATCAGGAGTCCTTCCACTGAGACCTTCCACTGAGTCCTCCCAAAAGGAATACTCCCACTGAGTCCACCCAAAACGAATACTCCCACTGAGTTCTCCCAAAAGGAATGCTCCCACTGAGTCCTCCCAAAAGGAGTCCTCCCACAGGAGTCCTCTGAGCTGAGTATAGATAAAGACAAAATGTTTGTCTGTGTATCTGTCTGTGTGTCAATCTACATTCCATATTGGATCCTTTGGTTGCAAGCAAAGTTGCAACGAGTACGGCTAGTACTTTATAAACTTGTCTATTTCCCGCTTCAAACCCACAATGGACTTCACCTCTACCACCTTACTAGGCAGCGAGTTCCACATCCCAACAACTCTCTGAGTGAAAATGTCATCTTAGAAATAGCTTCTCACTATTACGCTGTCAAAGCCCATCATCATTTTTTACAACTCTATCAGGTCCGCTGTCATCAGGAAAAGAGGGGAGAAAAGTTACAAATAATTTACACTGATATAGTGACTTTCACGTGAAGAGGATGTCTCAAAGTGCTTACATTTGAGTGAGTGTAATTGTGACATTTCTTTCAACTCCTCGCTCATCCTTCTCTGCTCCAATGCAACAGACCCAACCTGTCTAATCATAACAACAAAATAAACACAGTCATGCCACTTCACAGTATAAAGTTTACAGTTACCCCTCATCCCAGGAATCATTCTTATAAACCTCCTCTACACCTCCTCCAATACCTTAACATCCCTCCTGAAGGGAATTTCTCCTGATGCACTGCTCAACAATCCTCCAGATAAAATTGGTCACTCACTTTGTGGGTGTTTAATAACTTGGTTACTTACTTCATGGCTGCTCACTTCCTGGCTGTATAAATGCAAGTTGTTGTTTGTGGGATATTATTGTTTGCAAATTGCTGTTACATTCCCCGCAAATACAGTCACTCTACAACTGCCATGTTTCGAATGTTATAGGCGTTGTATGAAATGTAAAGAATACTATTAATAATAAGGATTATTATTAAATGTACTTGACTTCAGGCATGTAACATAGAAACATATATAATTTTACAGGCATTATTCATGGAGACCCCAATGAACAAAACATTCTGGTGGAACTCAGCCATTCATCAGCTGAAGAAGCTTTGTATAATTTCAACCCAACCCACCTGCAAAAGGAATTCAGAATTTCTGGTATTCTGGATTTTGGTGACATGAGTTATGGTTGCTATGTATTTGAACTTGCTATCGTCATTGCATACATGATGATCGAGAACAAAGATCCCATAAGTGTTGGAGGCCATGTTCTTGCTGGCTTTGAGAGTGTGATCCCTTTGACACCAGAAGAGCGAGATGCCGTGTTTCTGTTGGTGCTTTGTAGATTTTCTCAGTCTCTCGTTATAGCCAGAAACACCGTTCTGCGTTATCCAGAAAATGAAGAATATCTCATGAGTTCAGCAAAAAATGGTTGCAAATGTTTACATCAGTTGTGGGAGTTAGGTAAAGAGGCAGTGGAGAAGATTTGGTTTGAAATAGTTGACTCGTACCACAGATAGAGCAGAATTCTTCCTCATGAAAATACAAAGCGGATTTATGAAAAGGAAAGACACAAACATAAAAGCATAATTTCCCTGCACCTTATCAATTCAAGCATTGTATCTTCAACCAAATGAACCAAATTAAATAAATGCTCTGGTAATGTTTCTCCACTTTATATTCCCATTTAAGAAAACAACCTGAGAAAGCAGAATTAGGCAATGCTGCCCCAACCTCACACCAAAGGGACAGCCGCACGGATTTGTTAAAGGCAGATCTTGTCTAACAAATCTAATAGAATTTTTTGATGAGGTAACGGAGAGAGTGGATAAAGGTAGTGCAGTTGGTGTAGTTTATATGGACTTTCAAAAGGCATTTGACAAAGTGCCATATGAAAGACTTGTAAGAAAGATAGAAGTCCACGGTATAAAAGGGACAGTGGCAGCGGATCCAGAACTCACTGGGAGACAGAAAGCAGAGAGTTGTGGTGAACGGCTGCTTTTCTGACTGGAGGGAAGTGTACAGTGGTGTCCCCCAGGGATCGGTATTAGGACCACTGCTCTTCCTAATATACATAAATGATCTGGAATTGGGTATAGCAAGTACCATTTCCAAGTTTGCGGACGACACAAAGTTAGGGAGGGGGTAAACAGTGAGAAGGATAGGAGCCAACGACAGGAAGACATAGAATGGTAAAACGGGCGACACATAGCAGATGAGTTTCAATGTGGAGAAATGCAAAGTAATGCATTTTGGTAGAAAGAATGAGGGGAACAATATAGGCGGTAATACAATCTTAAGGGGGTAAAAGAACAGAGAGACCTGGGGGTGCAGGTAAATGAACCCTTGAAGGTGGCAGAACAGGTAGATACAGCTGTAAAAAGGGCATCTGGGATTCTAGGCTTAATAATAGGGGCATAGAGTACAAGAGTCAGGAGGTGATGATTAACCCATATAAACACTGGTTAGGCCTCAGTTAGAATACTGCGCCCAGTTCTGGGCACCGCACTATAGGAAGGATGTTAAGGCATTGGAAAGGGTGCAGAGGAGATTTACGAGGATGCGACCAGGAATGAGGGACCGTGATGATGAGGAAAGGCTGGAGAGGCCGGGATTATTCTCATTGGAGCAGAGAAGGTTACGAAGAGACCCGATAGAGGTCTTCAAAATCATGAGGGTTTTGATAGGGCTTTAAAGGATAGTTGGTCAACAATTCAAACAAAACACCAAGGTTCTGCACCAGCTCCACAAATTGGAGTGTACATTCATATCCAGATTCATGCTGTCAACGCATCAGGGGAAGTCTGGATGATATTTTCCCCCTTCCTTACCCAGAGCACTAAAGCCAAGGTAAACCACAACTTCTGCTTGAGCTGCACACACAGTGTGAGTAACAGCCCCTAATGCAACCTTTAGTCTTCCTGCAGTTAGGATATTGGAAAGTACAACCTGGGATTGGTTACTGAGTAAGTGTTAAATGAGTGTCACTGTTGTATAGAGTACAAATGTACAGATAGTTACCAAAGATAATAATTGGCATTTGATCTTGTCAGGATGTCTTATGCACGGCATCAATTCAATCCCTTTTTCCTTTTCATTTATTCAGTTAACTTGCCTGTTTGAAAATACTGTAATAAGGTGGTGGGCAGTCTGGAGGGATCTAAGTTGGAGGAAATTATTGGTATATTTTATAATATATAATCCTTGAATTTGATAAAGTTTCTTATCTCTTCATCACAATGTCTCAAAGTACTTCATAGGACTGTAAAGTACAGTGACTATTTTGTTTGTGAATTACCAGACAGCAATGTTCCACAAATAGCCATGGAGGGAGTGTTCATTGTGCAGTTCTGCCATGAATCCTCCTAATGTGAAAAACTAAAGGGACACGAGGAGAAATTAATTTCCAAAAAGTGCCGTGAGATCTTCAAAGTCCACCTAGACCTCTTAGACTGTGCTTTCGATCATCCTGCTTTCCCCCTGCCCTCCACCCTCCCCAATCCCGACCCCCAGCGCATGTCCGAAACTCTGACTATCCAGTGCCTTGGGAAGTCCTCGCAATGTGAGAGGTTCTGTACAAATGTCACTTTGTTGTGGTTGTTGTGTGTTAGACAGACAGATGGGATCTGGGATTAGTGACTCATCCGAAGGACAGTAACTTTGAACCCACAGCCCTGGTGTAGACACCTCAAGAAGATCACTTCAAAATGTCAGTGTGTTAGTGTGTCAGTGTGTAGTGTATCAAATACCTCCTCAAACGACCTCCTTGCCGGTCTTCCCAGCTCCACTACCCACAAAATCCAGTTAATTTGAAACTACACGGTCCCCACACTCTCCCATACTAAACTCCATTACCCCATCACACCAGTTCTAGCCCGGTTCCACTGGCTCCGTCTCATTGAATGGATTGGTTTCAAGATCCTCACGCTCACTTCATGCTCTGGCACCTCCTCACCTTTCCGACCTGCTCACTCCCAACCCACCACCCGCTCCTCCGCTCGACTGGTTCCTCCGCAAGTTCCTCGTGCCCTCCGTTCCACCATTAGTGGCCAAGTTTTTAACCACTATGCCACAAAACTCAGCAACATTCTCCTTCTGTCCCTCTGTCATGCTCCCTTCCTATCTTCAGTTTGTGCCTGAAGACATTCCTGTTCGACCGTGCCTACAGTTACCTCTTCCCCAGCTCGGCTTTGTGTGGGGCGCTATATAAATATAAGTTGTTGTTTTTGTTGTGTCAACATCTCAGGTGTGTCAGTGAGTGGGTGTGTCAGTATATTGGTGTGTCAGAGTATAGGTGTGACAGAGTGTTAGTGAATCAGGGTGTCTCTGTGTCAATATGTTGGTTTGTCTGTGAATGGGCATGTTGTTGTGTCAACGTGTCAGTGCGTAACATTTTCCTGAACACACAATTCCATGTACTTAAATGAATATAATTTGCACCTCAAGATGTCTTTACTCCCTTTGTATGGCAATGCATGCTAATTAAATACGAGCAACTTGTACATGCAACTGTATAAGCATAACTGGCTTGTTTACAAAGTTACATTTCAAAATTAACAAATGATTGCCCAATTGCTGCAAGTTTGAATTGAGCGTGAAATATATAAAAATGTCCAGTGCTTTCAATGTCTGTATACAGATGTATGCATTGGCTTACCTGTAGTCCTTCCGGGTCGTCCTCACGATGTAAAAGGCACTTCACAAATGTAATTCTGTTGTTGTGTCAACACTATTGGAAACATGGCTTCAGTGTGGGCAGGATTAGCAACTAGACATTCCTGCGTACCGCATTGTCAATAGATAGAGAAGTGGAGGTCAGGCGGATGGAGGGTCAATCAGAGATGGGTATTTGAGCAAAAGGATATTATAGACAAGAAGATTCACACAGAGTCCTTGTGGATGGAAATATGAAGTAAAAAAGTGTCTTTTCTTAAACACATCTTTTCTAATGAAAAAAGGCCTGAATCCCCTCATAATTTTGAAAACTTCTATTTAGTCTCCTCTTAACCTTCTCTGCTCCAAGGAGAATAATCCCGGCTTCTCTGCCTCTCCTGATAACTGAAGTCCCTCATTCCTGGTACCATCCTGGTCAATCTCCTCTGCACCCTCTCCAATGCCTTGACCTCCTTCCCAAAGTGTGGGGCCCAGAACTGAGCACAGTCTCGAGCTGAGGCCTAACCAGTGTTTATAAAGGTTCATCATAACTTCCTGACTTGTGTATTCTATGCCCCTATTTATAAAGCCCACTATCCCGGATGCTTTATTAACAGCTGTATCTGCCTGTCCGGCCACCATCAAAGATTTACTATATGAACCCCAGGTCCCTCTATTCCTTCACCCCCTTACTCGTGAAAGGCACTATACAAATATAATCTTATTGTTGTTGTTAAGACTGCACCATCAGCTTATATCGCCTCTCCTCATTCTTCCTCTCAAAATGCATTACTTTGCATTTCTCCACATGAACTTTCATCTGCCCCGTGTCTGCCCATGTTACCAGTCTGTCTGTGTCCATTTGCCGTCTGTTACTATCCTCCTCACTGTTTACTACTTTTCCAGGTTAGTATCATCTGCAAACTTGGAGATTGTACTCCCTGTACCCAAGTCCAGGTCATTTATACAGATCACAAACAGCAGTGGTCCCAATACTGACCCCGGGGGACACCACTGAACATTTCTCTCCAGTCAGGAACACAACCATTCTCTACTCTCTGTCTCCCAGACAGTTCTGTGTCCGCTGCCACTGTCCCTTTAATACCGGGGCTTCTATTTTGCTTATGAGTCTCTTATGTGGCACTTTATCAAAAGCCTTTTGAAAATCCATATAAACTACATCAACTGCACTGCCTTCATCCACCCTCTCCGTTACCTCATCAAAAAACTATCAGGTTTGTTAGACATGATTTGCCTTTAACAAATCTGTGTTGATTGTCCTTTATTAACCCATATTTTTCTAAATAAAAAATTATTTTGTCCCAGATTATAGTCTCTGGAAGTTTCCCACGATGGATGTTAGGCTCACGGGCCTGTAGTTCCTGGGTTTATCCTTCTGCCCCATTTTGTAAAGGGGAGTAACATTTGCGGACTGCGGGCGGCGGGCGTACAAAGATACAAAATTGTAACAGGCACATAACACACCACCTCATAGAATCATAGAACTATGCAGCACAGAAGGAGGCCATTCTGTGGAAATGTATTTTGAACTATCACATAACGGGTTAAAAACATCTTGCACTACAGTGTAAACAGCCCTTCACCTTCTAATTGCACTGTCTTTGTGCTGTCCCTGTATCAGTAAAATTGGCAAGCCTACTATCTATTGGCAAAGAATCCAAAGATCTCCTCCAAGGTCTTTCCTGCCTTACTAAAATTAATTAGTAAGGAGTATCACTATGCTTGACCAATTAACTTGACAGACAATACAAAGCCATGCAAGAGTAAAAACTACCAATTAGGAAAATTGGAAAAAAAGTATGCACATGAGCAAACTATTTTGGTTGGATAAGATTTGTGTATAATGTATTCTAAATATATATATATATACTCTGTCTAAACACATATAATTCGAAATGGTCCTGCTCGCATATTGAAACCTGAAAGGACCTCTTCCCTCACTGCAGTGGGTCAATAAAGCTTACAATGGTTGATTGTTGAAACTGTCTTTGAG